TCAAACGAGCAGGAAGTCTTACGGGTCCATTACCGGGCTGCGAGAACACTAGCCAATCAGACTCTGCCTTTCAGTGCCTGTACAGTTCTACTGGATGCTGAAGTGTACAACATGCCTCAAGATGTCCAGGTAAGTCACAGGTTACACTACAGATCTGTTTATCTGTGAATCTTTAGTCTGTTGTTTAATGATTATTTATTTGAATGTGTATAAATGTAGTGTGTTAAGTTATTGTGTGTTTGGTTCACAGAACGACGATGGCAAGACGTCAGTAAGAGACAGATTCAACGCCCGGCAGTTTATGTCATGGTTACAAGATGTCGATGACAAGTTTGATAAGCTGAAGGTAAAAATCGCTGTTTGTTTTCCACTGTGTGCATCTGTTTAACACGTCTGCATTTGTGAAGAACAGGCTTAACTGAGTACACCAGTGAGTGCCAAATATTTTTTAGACTGGATTGAAAGTTGAAATGCAGCTTGGAGAATGTACAATTCTGCCAGAACCTTTGTGCATCTTTCTCTGAAGAAGACATTCTTGAGCTAAACGAGAACATCTGTTTTGATAAAATAGTTGCTTTGTTTTGCCCTTTACAGACATGTCTTCTGATGAGGCAGCAGCACGAGGCGGCAGCACTGAACGCCGTGCAGCGCCTGGAGTGGCAGCTCAAACTGCAGGAGCTCGATCCGGCCACCTACAAGTCCACCAGCATCTTCGAGATCCCCGAGTTCTACATCCCGCTCGTGGAGGTCAATGATGACTTTGACCTCACCCCAATATGAGCTGTAGGACAGACGTGCTATCACGGGCACGAGCCGCTGCCCGCACTTTTGAGAAAAAGGAAAGAAAAATGTGAAGCACTTAGAATGTGGTGGTCATACCAAATAGCACTTAGACGATTTTACTCCAGAGCTCTGGCAGTCCAAACAGGCACACCTACCGCCAGGACTGGGGATAGGGCTGACCAGGAAGAGGGGGTCCAGGCCACAGACAAAGCCCAGGGAGCAGAGACCAAACGCTGGGCCGGGAGCTGCAGCAGGAAGCAGAAGTGTTGACAAAACCACCTGCGAGTGCTCCTCATCAAGCAGGGTCACACAACTGAAAGAATTCAACAGCTTTCAGGGTGAGTGTTCATACATTGTGTACAGACTGTGCTCTTAATTTTTTTAACTTATTTTATACATAAAAAATTGTGCATTTGTAAATAGCCATGTAATTATTGTTTTAAACTTGTAAAAACAAAAAATAATAGATATTTTGATTGTAAACTTGTTCCGTCTTATGTTTTAATGGACCAAAGTTGGTTTTTATATCAAGTGTCCTCTTTGTCTGTGACGTTGTTGTTGTTCTTGTTGTTGCTGGCTTAAGCATGTTAGTTTTTTGTTTTGTTTTTGCTGTTTCTTCCTTCGTCATCTGGAGTTCCACGCCACAGCTGGTGTTATTTGACTTTGGCATTTAAATGCTGTGCATGCGTTGCATTGTTTGTACTCTTTTCCTAAAAAAGCTATACTGTGGACTTAATTGTGAGGTTTACTGAAGTGTTCCAGCTTTTTTTTGCACCATTGTGTTATGTCCTTAATGTGGCCTCACTCTTCATGTGTCGTCCACTGTTTCTCACGTATATTAAAGTCTGTTGCAGCTTCCAAGGAAGAAAAAAAACATACTTTTACAGTTTCAGTGTGAGATCACAACAAATCCTATTTTTTCAACATAATGCTTTTTGAACGATAGTTCTAAAAAATGTCTATTTTAATATTTACTTGTTACATGACTTGTACATATTTGTAATATATAATTGAATAAATTTTATTTGTTGTGAAATTAAAACTGTTTTTGGTGCCATTTATTTAAATTGTGCAAAAGTTTTGATAATTGCTATAGTTATTTGCCATTAACATTTGTAAACCATATTTTTCAATATTTACATTTTTCCCTTTTTAAAGCTTTTATAAACCAAATAATCAAGTCAACAAAAAAAACCTTTTTTTGACCAAATGTACTAAATATAACTCCAGGAAATATAATTGTATCCCTAAACTGAACTAGAGAACACATCACGATGGGTTCATAGAGAAAGGGGGATTTTCTCAACGTTGTCTTATGTTTCACACCAAATGATTAAAATAAAAAAAATGATGTTACAGTTCTACAAGAAATGATGTTTATAATCTTGTTTTCTAACCTGTAGTGCTGTTCGTAGCCGGTAGATGTCGCTGTGCACAGCTGCCAACTCTGGGATCACAAATGGGTTATGATTTTTGAAACAAAACTAGAGAAAGTAAAATGAATTTGTTTGAAAAAGTGAGTAAAGTACACTTGAGTACTGTTTTAAGTCCAATTTTAAGGTAATTAAATATTTCCATTTTATCCTTTTATACGCCAAATTTTATTGGGAAATACTGGACTTTGTTTATCAAATAATATCAAACACCATGAAGTTATACCACTTCACTGTGACATAGTTAAATTACGACCGTCATGAAAGGTCTGTTGTATTAGACTGCTTTAATTTTAGCTAGGTGTACCTAATAAACTGGTAACTGGGTGTAATCATGATTCTCAGCTCAACCTAATGGCCCAGTCACCTTCTACTGCATCATGTGAACCTTGACTCCTACCTACATTGGAAATGTGAAATGTCAGTGTAACTTAAACTGAAGTGACTCAGCAATTTTGTAACACACAACCATCACTTTGAACTAAGGCATAATTCATCTTCTTGTGTTTAGATGCCACAATAATCTGAATCGTGTTTAGACTGCTATTGCCGTGGTTTACATTTACTTGGTTACAGCGAATCGTTCTTCCGGATTCTCGGTCAGATGTAAATGGCCCTGCGTTGACTGAAGACCTTCCTCTCCTAGGCTGGAAGCGGGGTCTGCTGTGGCTTTGATGAAGTCCTTAGGAAAACGCACGTAAACGCCTGTGGAGTTAAATGTCCCCTCCCAGCTGAGTTGCTACAAATGAGCGCAGAGATGCGTCACAGCGGGACGCCTGCTCAGCGTTAACAGCTTCCGAATCGCCCCTTCTCGCCTAATGAGCGCACTCCCTAGGCCGCTGATAAGGCTGGAGACAAAGGGCCGTGTAATGAGTCGGGGGGTGATCTGCTTGTAGAAAAGCAAGCCTCACAGAGCCCACCTGGGTTGGTTACCAATGGACACAATGTTTGGCTAAAGGGGGATAAACGGAGAAGCTTTTACGCACAAAACTCCACGGGGAGCAGCTGTAAACGTTAGTCTCTTGGTGGGATTTGTGGCTCGGTAAGGCCTGTTACCCTGACGACATTCGGCCGGTGTGTGTGTGACCTGAGGCCCGGTCTTATCCTCCACAGATGTTGGCTTGAAAATGGAGTGTGTGCCTTTAAGGCGCCCGACTGCCTGTCGCTTTGTGCTGCGGAGAGACTGACGCCCTCTGGACACACTGGACACTTGAGCGGCAGCAGAGCACCATCCTGGAGAAGTTCAAAGAGAAAACAGCCACAGTCCCCCCTCATTTTAAAAAGAAAAGTCGTGAACTTGTTAACAGCGTTGTGGTAAGTTTTTTTCTTTTATCCCTTATATCACTATTTCGCTGTTGTACACTCGATCGCGTGGATGCGTGCGAGTGAGACAAAGTTTTGGTGTTAGTAATGAGAAAAAACGAGGTGAAGAAACGCGTTCATGACTGAGGGAGCTAATGTTTCTCATGTTTTTCTCTCCGTCCTGTGAAATGGAACAATGAGCAGCAAGTGGTGAAATGTAATAGCAGAGCAACAGTGAGCTGAACATACAGAAAGCTGATGCTGCCAGATGTGTGTACGCGATATTACACCTCAGTAAAACAAGCGGCGCTGGCTTTGAATTAAATGTAACGCAGACATAGTAAAGGTCTGTTTACATGTTGGACCTTGTGATTTTCATTATTTCCATCTACTTTTAACACGTTTCAAACATCACACTGACTGTACACCCACACATCTTAGAGTGTAAGCAAAAGTAAAACCCTTCATCGAGTGGTGATTGTTACTTAACTCAAACTGACAATGTGGAGAGGGAGATAAAGAAAAAGCAGATGATTTTACCCAGAAAGATCAAATCTGGATGCCCAGTATGTGGTTTCAAGTCGCTTCTGTCTTCTTTCTGCTGCATGTTTTAACCTGGGTGTGTGAGTTTTAGCCCTGAAAGTTTTCAGATGTCACACTGGCTGTACAAAACAACCTGCATTTGACTAAACAGCCCATTATTTATTTATCTACTTTATTATTTTTAGTTGATGGATACAAAGAGAAACATTTTTCAGCTGGGGATCAGGAAACCTCTTTTTGGTTTGACATTTTTAAAGAGTAGTTTTTTCATTTTTCTTAAATAATGCATGACTTGTTAAGTCCCATCATCTGTTATGCTCCGACCCGCAGCTCTTTACTTTTCTTGAGTTTCAGTGATGAGGTTTTGTTTATTTGTCTGAGGTCCCGGCCTGTGTTCTTGTATTGACGTAGGTGTTCCCAGTGCTGTGCTGGTGAGCCGTCAGGATGAGGACTGGTCAGCTGATCCTCCCCGCCGCTGCCGCCACTCTCCTCTTCTTCCTGTCAGGATTGTCTGTGACCTCTGGCTGCAACAAAGCCCTCTGTGCGAGCGACGTCAGCAAGTGCCTCATCCAGGTAGGGCGCTGCAGGGTTTTCACACTCTTTGGTGCTGGATTCTGGATTTATACAACAGTCAGACCATGAAAACCTCTGTTTTTCAGCCCGAAGCACAGTTCTTTATTTTCTGACTCCCATCCAAAGAACACAACGTAATACAGCTTCGTATGTGTAAAGTCAACCTACCTCGACCTCAGATTTCAATTTTCAGACCTTACATTTGGAATCTAGTTTGTGGAGTTCGGTCCTCTGCTGTCAGACGGTTCAGAAATCCCCTGTTTTAGTGTGAAAAGTGTACACAAACATGTGTTCTCTCAGTTTTTATCAAATACATCACCGCTCACAAACAAGCTTCACCTTGCTGAGGCTGCTTTGTGTTTGCAGAAAGATAATCTGGTGCACGTTAAACTTGTGATGATCCTCTCTGTAGATTAAAGCTGGAAATTTCTGTGTAAGTGTGGCCTAGTTCAAGCTATTCATCCTATGGTGTCACAGCTGTTTTGAATAAACACAGGCTGTCATTTCTCTTGACAAGAACACAAACGAGAAGCTGACTGCCGCAGAAATCAAGTTCAAGCTAAAAAGAGAAGCAGAGCGGTCAAAATCATGTTTTAACACCG